TGTCGAGACTAGGATCACGATTGCTCGCGCCCGAATTGATTGGGTGAGCGAAAGCTGGGAAAGGGCGCTTCGATGTCCTCTATGTATCACACGCATCCCGCGTGTACATCGTCCTGAAAGCAGCGACGTGTTCAGCTCCGGCAGATTGAGTCCATACGCATGTTTGGGGTTTTCGTGCGCACATCTCCTTCATCAGGTCGCTGGAAGCGTGCTTGAAGCTTGAAGAGGGGTGCGGCTTGGGCGCGAGTTGCGCAACATACACGCGCTGAGGCGGTCTCCGGGCCGTGTTCGGCAGCGCATCGGCTATGCAGGCGTAAGCGTGCGGAGGCCCGATCCTGATAAGTTTGAGTCCGGCGTGTGCTCAACCGTTTCAGGCGCGCGTATCCTGTCTGGAAGGCCTATGGTACAGGAGCGTGCGGGCGAGGTTAAGTGACGCTTTGCCTTATACGACCTCGAGATCCCCACGCACACAGAGGTGGGACAAGCTGGATGTGTACCGTGATGGAGGGACGCGCGTCATGACGATCGGGAGGGGTGTAGCCACTAGTCATCACGGCTGGCGCGAACGTCTCTCGCGCCATGCCAGATCTTGCCTTTGTCATATGTGACGGCGGAGAGGGGGAAGCAGATTAGAAGGCGGGTTTCGTGTACGAAGCCCGTGTGCACCCTAGGCGAAGGGTTCGAAGGCGAGGCGGAGGCGGGCGCGGCGGTGCGGTATTGCTAGGCTCTCTTCGCCGACTTCGACTTTCGTCTTCTTCGCGTCTGAATCCTCGATCTACCTCTCGACCATCTACCTTATCATCACGGCTGGCGCGAACGTGTCCTCGGCGCCATGCCAGATCTGGATCTTGCCGTCGTGTACGGCGGAGAAGGAGGGCGATTAGGGCAGGGTCTGGTGGACGAAGCCAGGGGTGCCGCGGGCGAAGGGTCTGAAGAGCTGCGGGCACGGCGGTGGGGTGTTGCATGATATTCTTCTTCCTCGTCCTCCGAGCTCTGATCGGGATTGCCGTCCTTCTTCTTCTTCGCGTACAACCTCCCGATCCACGCGTTGATCCCTCCCCACCCCAGGGAAGTACGTGACCGCAAATGCGAGCGCTCCCCGCCCGCGCGACATGTACCGCTTCCCAGCCCACTCGCGGATAGGCCGACGGTGGAGAGTGTGTCATGCGGTAGCGCATGCGCGCATGTCAAAGCGTACGGCCCTCTACCGCTTACGCCCTCCGTCGCGAACCGTCCCATCCCCAACACCCGCACATACTCGTTCACATCATCGGCGCGGAATGTCGACAGTCCGAAGCCGGGGCGGTCGAGCGCGGTTTTCGTTTTTGGGAGAGGCGAGCGGGGTGATATTTTTGGGGGAGGCAGGCTTCAAGCTTCAAGGCGCGAGGAGGGAAAGCCGTGCATGTAGGAGGAGGTGGCCGGTCTGGGGGCCGTATGCTGCGTAGCCGAGGGTACGGCCGGAGGGCGGGTGAAGGGTGAGGCTGTCGCGGGGTGGTGCCAGGGTTGCGGCCGTCATTTGGCGCGCGCGGTTGGGGTGTGGAAGGGAGATAGAGGGTGGGGGTCTCCGGAGCATGGGGGCGCTGAGACGATGATCCTGTAGTAGATGGTATTGAATGAGAAGAGGTCAAGAGAGCACATAGAGACTGACCTCAAGCATGGAGGTTGATTCACGGGCGTAAGGCTTCGAGGTCTGCGCCAGGTACGCGCTTGTCTCGCGCAAACGCGAGGAATCTATAGCATATAGTCTATGTAGAGCAATCCATGAGGTGCAAGCAATAATGTTGCGTTATTGCCTTCTGCCGGCGGCATGCGTCGGCCGTTGTTGGTGTTACATGTGAGGGACCGGTTTGAACGCGGAAGCTCAGACTGGACGTATTCATGATCTTCACGGATCCGGGAAGCTCGAGCTCGTACGTGCGCACGCCGCTGGGGTAAAGATCTGTAGCATAGGCAGTGATGGTGGTCGAAAGCTAGCCAGCGCTTGTGCGGGCGCCCCGAAGCCCTATCCTGATCCGGGATGAACGTCATCGCCGAACGCCGAGAGTTCGCCACAAATCCCGCACTGACCCTTCGCGCTCGCTCGTACACCCTCAACTACCACTACCACCACCTCTGCCACCACTTCTCTGTCTACCACTCGCGCGCTACACTCTTCCCCGGCGCGATGGACGGCCACGCGCGCGCAGGGCTGGTAGACCTGGACGAAGACACCTTCGCGCACCCGCGCCGCCCGCCCGCCCTCTCGTCCTGGCCCGCCCTCTCGTCCTGGCCCGTCCCGCCACCCCCCTTCCTCCGCCAAAGCACCCTCCCAGCCCCTCAAGACCCAAACCCACCATCTCCCTCACCAATCCCGCTCAAACGCGTCCCCCCAAACCTGATAAACAACGCGCTCCCGCCCGAGCTCCTCCTCTCAATCTTCATCCTCCTAACGCACTCCATCGCCGACTACGGCTCGCACTGGACCTACTCCCCCTTCTGGCTCTCCGTCACCCACGTCTGCCGCACCTGGAGGACCCTCGCGCTCTCCTCGCCGCTCCTCTGGACGCGCATATCCTTCTCGCGCTCCACCGGCGATCTCGCGAACACCATGCTCGCAAGATCAGGCGACGCGGAGCTGAACATAGCGTACAGCGATCGATTGGCGCGTATGCCGCCCTTGCAGCTCTACACTGCGCTCTCTCCGCCTCATCTAAGACGCACATCGCGCCTCCGGCTCAACGTCACGCGCGCTTCACTCGCGCACCTCGCCGCGCGCCTCCCCTCTGAAGCGCCCATTCTCAGACGGCTGCATATTGACTTGGTGGACGGGATGCATGTACCCGGAGAGGGTCACGCGGTGCCCGGCGTGGCGAACTTGCGCGCGCCAGAGTTGAGAGCGCTGATATTGTTCGGTGTACCGATCCCGCCGACCGCACCACTCCTCACGCGCTCCGCACACCTCACCGAGCTCGTGCTATTAGGTATCCCCCGCCCGGCGCGGTGGAGCGTAGCCGACGCTCTCCGCGTACTGCAACATACGCCCAAACTCAGACGCCTGCTGCTCGTACACGCGATCGAAGAAGATCACCCCGACGACCCGCCCGGACCCCACATCTCCCTGCTGTATCTCAGAGAAGTGACGATGCACGCGCCGACGCCGGCCTTATCGTCTTTTCTTTCGTCTCTCACCACCGACCCGTCAATATTGGCAAGATGCACGCTCTCCGGCGCGATCCCGCCCTAACTTCGCTCTGGGGTCATCAAGAGGCTGGAGGTCTCGTTCGGGTTGACGGAGTTTTCCGTACGCGCTTACACCTCCTCTTCCCCTCCCCTCCTCCTCCCCAAAGAAACAACCGACGCTCGAACTCCTCGAACCCGAACGCGTCCTCTCCGCCCCGCACAGCCCCGGCCGTGCATCGTTATTGGACTTCATGCGCTCCGCGCTCACGGCCTCAACTTTCTACGCTGTGCGGTGTCGCGCTTCCGCACGAGGAGTTTGGGTGCCATGTGCGGGATATGGAGTACGATCATGAGCGCGGTGAGGAGGGCATCGGGACGTTTCTGAGAAGCGCGAAGAGAATCCGCATCAAGATCGGCTCGTGGCTCCCCGACGACGACACGTTCGGGCGGACGGGGATGGATTGGGCTGTGGGGTGTATACGCCGCTGGGAACCCCGTCTCCCCCCTCTCTCCCAGTCTATTCCAACTCACGCTCAAGCCATCTCGAACCACGCGAACGTCGGTGCTGGAAGAGGTCGTGATAGATGAGAGGGAGACGTACAGCGGTGCGGCGCTGAGGTGTTTGTTAGGCTTGGATCCGGATCTACCGGGGCCGGGGACGGGTGGGAAGGAGGAGCCGCTGTGGGTTGAGGAGAAGCTGAGGAGGACGCCGGGTTCAGGTGCTGGCAGTACTTCGTTGATGACATGTTGTGTACCATACAATGGGGCGATGCAGTGTGACTTGAAGAGTAGTGGACGCGAGATGTAATATTCTAGGGTGCATATGTCGCATATATGCAACCTTTGAGCCTCCTCGCTCGATCAATAGCCAACCGGACAAACCCGGCGCGCTTTCCGCGTTCAACCGACACTCGCGCTCCTCTCGAGCGAACCAGCACATGCGACGCCAACAATCGGTCGCCGTATGCGGCAATAATGCAAATGTATTGCTTGTACCTCATGACTTGGACTAAGCTATAGTCTATATAACGCCTTGCGTCTGGCGCGGATGTGATCGTTGGCTCGCTCTCCGAAGTTTCTGGCGTAGACCGCAAGGGTACTGTACGCCGGTGGATTGGCCTTCGTGCTCGAGGTCAGCTTCTTTCTACTCTCTTGACCTCTTCTCTCTCAACACCCTCATCGCAGGATCGCCGGCCCAGCGTCTCATCCTCCGGCGATCCCCCATCCTCCACCACCCTCGCACACACCATCGCGCGCAACATGTCAACCCACACAACAAGCCGGGACAGCCTTAGCCTCCTCCCTCCCCTCCGGCCGCACAAGATCCTACGCAAGATACGGCTCCACAACCGGCCCCCTCCTCCTACATGCACGGCTTCCCCTCACTCCTCGCCTCCCCCAAAACAAGAACCGCCCTCGACCGCCCCGGTCTTGGACGTCGTCGGCTGTCGTCGGCCCGTGCAATCGGGCTGGAACGTTGACAGCCCAAGAACGTGCGCGGGCGTCAGCGTTGGGCCGGCGAGCTGTGCGGCGGAGGGCCCCACGCTTTATCATGCGCTATGCACCGCCGCAATACATGCTCTCCATCATCGGCCTGTTCGCGAGTGGGCTGCTAAAAAGCGGTATATGTTGCGCGGGAGGAGGATGCTCGCGTTCGCTGCGCTGTACTTCCCTAGGGTGGAGAGTGAGCTGATGGCGCGGAGGAGCGACGCGTGGACTGCGAGTTCGGACGCGAAGAAAAAGAGCGTGCGCGCATCGACGCTGGTAGACAAGCTGGTACGGCGTCTTGTCCCCTCGGCTTCCCCTCTGACTTCCTCGTCCATTCTCATACCTGTATCTGATGCATCGCCCAGGCTCGCAGGGTTCTACATGAACTATGAGGATTCCGAACTACTTGAGGCCTTCAAGCGAATGATGGGACATCTACGCCCAGAGATCGTCGAACGTCAAGCGGCCCTCTTAGCCCTCACCTACACGCATACGGGTCAGGATCCAGCCGGAGATTTCACCTCAGTCACCGCGCGTTCTATCTTTCAAGCTTATCTCTATTGTTTTAGCGTACCCTTGGCGTACCCTGAAGAGGACAGCAGATCGCCGAATGTGTAGCGGACGGCAGACATCACTTGGACATCACTGGCGAACATTCGCCGTCCAATGTCGTCTCGCCGCACACCTTGTTCTACCTGATCGCGTGAAACCGACTTATGACGACCCCAGAGCAAATATGGGGGTTGCCGGCGGCACTATGGTCGGTACCGGTGGCGAGGAGCCCACAAGATGGTTCACAGGAAGGCGGACGCCGTTGGGGTTAGGGTTAGGGAACACGGCCACATGACTTTCCTAATCGTGTTTCGCCCGTTGTTTACTCGATCATCCACGCCTGTTTACGAATCCTCTCTCCTCCTACCGTTCGTTCTCCCCATACTCTTCCCCGCGATACTCTTCCACCTTAACTCACGCGAACGCCGGTGCTGGACGAGGTCGTGCTGGACGATCGAGAGAGGTACAGCGGTGCGGCGCCGGGGTTGGGTGGGGATGGAGGGGAGCCACCGTGGGTTTTTGAGCAGAGGGTTAGGACGCCGGGCTTGGGTGCTGTAGCGTAGCTCGCCAATGTCATGTGATATGTAGGATGATATAATGGGGCGCATATATTGTCCGAAGTGAAAGTAAACGCAAATAATCAAGCACTAACCCTCCTCGTTCGATCTCAGGTGTGAGTCTAACCGCTCAATGTTTACAAGATCATTCACGTTTCTCGTCGCGTCGAACAAAACCTCTTCTATATATACTGATACAACGACACTTGAAGCTTGATTTTCGATCCAAGAAGCACGCAACGTTTCGCCACGATGTTTACGATCACAGAGATCGATCTCCGAGTTCACCATCTGCTGACCTTCAGGGGTCCTCTTGCCATGCACCCGGTATATCCGTATCGGACATGCCACCCAATGACTTTTCAAACCAGCCCGGTTGCTCCTGCAGAAGCATAGATGACCTCTCATCCGGTATGGCACCCCAGTCCAGAAGAAGCTGCACTAATATCTGATAGGCCTCCGCTGTCAAGCGATTCCATTCTTTATTCGAGCTCCAGGAGCGATCAGTACAGCGTTTCACCTCACTTAATGCCAAAAAGAGAGGCGTGTCACCGTCCCGAGTAGGAGTATTCACATCAGCACCTCGCTCGAACAATAGTCATCTGGGAAACGCCCCCCCACTTAGCGCCTCTTAGCGCTTCTCAGGGCGGTCAGCTTAGCAGCCCTGAGAATCGCTAAGAATCGCTGAGCGCTGAGAATCGCTGAGAGGCGCTAAGCCAGGTTGGACTTAGGGCCGACTTAAGCGTCATTAAGGGCCGACTCAAGTGTCATTAGGGGCCCGCTAGGCTTCTTGAGAGGGGTCTGCAAGTGTAGAGTCAGTAGGTGCTCAGTGGGACTTATGGATAGAAACACGTACTCAAGGCGTACTCACGTTGTAGTTAGGATATCGTATTCGTAATGAATCAGTAGGTGCCCGAGAGACTCGTAAGCGTCGGTAGGTACTGCCTGAGGCTTCCTGAGTGATATTTAGTACAACCTAAGGCCGTCGTGACTGTGATTAAGTATACCGTGAGACCACCATGAGTGCTATAAAGTATACCGTGAGACTGTTGTGAGCGCCCAGTTCACGCAGATTACAGGTAATATTTTTCGCATTTTCCCACATTTAGCAATAGCGCCAAAAACAGCATTTTTATTAAAAGCCCTGGGGCGGGTTCAGGGACCTCAAGCGGACAGGGAGATTCTAGCATAGGTACATCGGATAGCAGAGCGGGGGTGATCGTAAGCAAGAGGTGAGACGAGGAGAGCGGTATGAGATAAGCAGAGCGTGATATTTGGGTATACGGAAGGGCTGTTGAAGCCCACTCAGGGTGATAAACAGTTAGCTATCGGCAAGCGTCAGTGAATTTCATGACGTAGAAAGGAAGAGGGACCGACACGGTAGAACTACTCGGGGTAGAGCTCCTCGGCCTCGGACGTGCCGATGTCCCTGCGTTCGTCGTCCGTGATCTCAATCGTGGGGACAGTCCATTCCCTGATAAAAGTGAGTTAGCAATATAGGCAGTGCGAGGGGTAGACAACATACCTCGCCAATTTGTACGTGTACTGTAGCAGTAGAGAGCGCGCGCGCGGCTTTTTCTGGTTCAGCACGCGGGCGTGAGTCTCGTACTTGTGCTTCACGTTGTCGGATATCAGGGTAATTTCCCTGTACGATCCGCCCTCCCACTCCATCAGGGCGTGCTCGACCTCAAGTGCAGCGTCAGTCTCGTCATTTAACAGCACCCAAACGGACACATACCGAGGTCGCCACAATCGCCAGCATGCCCACGGGCATTTCGCGGGGCCTGGCCTGCTCAGGATCCGCAGAGCGGCGCAGGAAGCTCGCCTCGGGGAACACCGAGGCCTCGAAGTCGTACCCGGGAACGGTCTTGCCCTTGCGATCCTTGACTTCACTAGCGCGCCCGAAGAAGGACATGGCCGCGATTTGCGTGATGGCGCCGCCACAGTAGTCCCGCTCACGATCCTCAGGTTCGATTGTGTACTTGAACGACTTACGGTCGGGCTGAATCTGCGGTGTACTAGTCAGCTCGGATCGAACTCAAATCCAGACCAGGCATACCTCTAGCTTGCCGGGGAAGAGGTAGTTCGAGGCACGCAGCAGTTCGACGACCGCATTCCTGAGGATCTTCGGGTTCCCCTCGTGTGGCCCAAGCTCGAACATGCTGAAGAGCGCGTGGCGACTCATGGTCATGACCTTCCCGCGGGCTTGGTGGCGTCTCTCGCAAATCTAGACACTCGTGTCATGGCGTGTAAGCACGGTAAGTCAGAGCACGCACCATGTCAGTGACGACCTTGGTGAACTTGATTTGCGAGCGGAAACGCGCCATGATCTTCGGAATCTTCTCGTTGTCGTCCTTGAGCGCGTTGGTGAAGGCGTCGCTGCAAATCCGCTTGTGGTCGTTGGATGTAGGATACGCGCCAGCTGTGGAGGTAAAGAGCTCGACCGGGTACTGCTTGTTCATGGCGTTCGTGAGCTTGTTGAAGAGCTCGACGCCCATGCCCGTCTTCAACCTGCAGTGCCCGTCCGCGGCGAAGGGCAGCCACGTCGTGTGATGCTCCTTCGCCTCTTCCTTGAGGAGCGCGTACTGCACGGTGGACATCTGCGTCTGCCGTGCCTGGACCTCCTCGGGTTTGAGGTAGTACCAGATATGACCTTTGGAGGCAGAGCGCTCCTGGACACGGGTTAGCGAAAGGATACGGACGGTGTGCTTTAACACGAAACCCACCTCGTCGGGGGCAGCTCCCTTACGCCTGCGCGCCGTCGGAATAATGCGCTTGGGGTCGATCGGTCCGTCCTGCGCAGGCGCGACCACGGCCGGTTTGCGCTTCTGCGAAGTGGCGTTAACGATATGCTAGTTAGGCGGTGAGTGCAAACGTACCTTGGGTTGCGGGGGAACCCGCACGACCTCATCACCCGATGGTTCTGAGTCCGGCTCGAGTCGTACAGTAGCCCGGCGCTTGGGAGCGGCAGCCGGAGTGGCAGGTAGCTTCTGCTGCTTCTGCGAGCGCATCGATGGTTAGATTGTGATGATACCCTAGTTACAAAGAAAAACAACTGACCTTGGACTTCAGCGGCGGTACGACTTCCTGGACCTCCTCCTGCTCTTCAGAAGAGCCGTCCGACGGCTGAGGCTGCGTCTCGCGAGACGGCGCGGAGGTGGAGATGCGTTGGAACTTGAGTTTGGTGACGGGCGTTGGAGTCTTCGGCTTGCTTGATGACGGTCGGTTGAGTTGGAAGGTAGTCGCGAGCTTTAACCCGCGTATCTAAGGACATTGTTAGTTTATTCTGAAAGCAGCATAGACATGAGCGTATACGCGCCTTCTTCGGCGGCGGTGCGACCTGCTCTTCGTCCTCGGAAGCCTGAATATCGTCCTGAGATTCAAACGGTAAGCAAAAACGCCTGTTTTAAACGCGGACGCAGGAAAACTCACCTCCGCAGGGGACGCGTACCCGTAGCTCCCCTGTACGTCGGAATTGATGGGGTCGATGTCCTGTAAAGGGATCAGCTTGCAGATCGGCGGAATCCCGAGACAGCCAGCGCGGGCAGGGCAGGACAGATCAGAGCGCAGGCCGTCGAGACGTAAGGCTTTGTCTGCTGATCTGGCAGAAGGCGCCTAAGCCGCGACGGGCGCAGAGTCGAACGAAGCCCCATAGCTTTGGTACACCCCAAGCAGTAAGGCTGCCCGGGATGCCAACGCTAGTGGAGGCCAATGGCGGCGCCAGCCGCGGCGGAGAGCGAGTAGGAGCGGGAGCGGGGCGACGAGCGAGTCATGGTGGTGGGAGGAGAAGTCTGATTGACGCGCGCGCGCCTTGCGGTTTGCGTGAGGCGCGCGAGCGTCAATCAAGTCGCGGCTCCCACCACCACGACTCGACTCCCTCTTCAACTTGCTTCCCCCCACCATCCCTCGCTCTTCCCTCCCACCACTCTCTGCGGCGACTGGCGACTCGGCTCTGGCGACTGGCGACTCGGATACTGGCGACATCGGACGATGGCGTGAAGTCCCCGGCCACGGGGCGGTTCACCGGGCAGCCTTACTGCTCGGGTTCCGCTGCGTGTGCTGCCTAGGGGTATCTTCACGGCGCGTTCGACTTCCTGTGGATGGGCGTCAGCCTGTAGAGCCGGCGTGCTCTGCGGGAACGACGTACCTCGGTCCTCGGTATCCAGGGCCCATGCCCTTGCCCCGCCCTTGCCCTGCCCGCGCTACTCGAGGGAACGAACGTACCTCGATATCCTCCAGCGCTGGCGCCGGCTCGTCGATCTCCATGTCCTGCTGATCGTTGGCCTCGTCGTCCTCCGGCTGGTTGGTCTCCTCGACCTCCATCGGCACGTCTCCGGCGGGCACCTAGGGCTCTGTCAGTATACTGGGGCTGGACCGTAAGCATAATTCTCGTACCTCAGAAGGCGGCGGCGAGGCTGATACGTCTTCGACAGCCTTCTCCTTTCCTTTGCCCTTTGCCTGGGGCCGTTAGCGCTAGCAGTAACTATTGAAAGTGAGTGTACTCACATCGGTCTTGGTAGTGGGCGGCGTTGCTGACGTCTGTCTCTGGTATAAGTCACGGTCTTTACAACCATACACGGTATGTTAAACATACCTTCTTCGCCGTCTTCTTGGCTGACGCTTTAGGCGGTTCAGCCTCTTCACCGCTACCAGCCTTCGAGTCCGCCCCCATGTCGGAGTCGGAGTCGGACCCGTCCGGGATGCGACGGGTATCCTTCGCGCGCTTGGCGGCAGTGTTGATGACCTCGGAGTTGCCGAGGGCGACCGGTACCTAAACAAGGTAAGCTAATGTCGACGCTGGCAAAGTTGAACTGAATACTGACGGCCTCCTCGATCTGCTCCTTCAGCTTGGCTGTGTAGGGTACGAACGTCTCGTCGGGCTCGGACAAAGCCTCGTCGTCCTCCTCATCGTCCGCCTTGGAGCCGCCGTCGTCGTCATCCATCTCCTCGTCCTCCTCGTCGGCGGCCTTCTTCTTGCCCTTCCCGCCGGCCTTCTTCTTGTCCTTGGTGCCGGCGTTCTTCTTGTCCTTGGTGTCGGCCTTGGTGCTGGCCTTGGTGCCGGCCTTGGTGCCGGCCTTGGTGCCGGCGTTCTTCTTGTCGACGTCAGACTTCCTGCCAGCGGCGGCAGGACCCTTCTTCTTCGCCGGCTCCTGTTCATCCTCGGACTCGGCAGTGGCCTTCCGCGCGCGCTTGCCCTGCGACGCTATCGCCTCTGAGAAAGAATGTAAGTGAGTATAAAGTTAATTGAAATGACGTGTAACTTACTGTTCTTCTCTTGTGACCTCAGCTTCGCCGTGCGAGTGCTTGAACGCACTATAGAACTCGTTCAGCCCTAGTGCTCTGCCGCCATAAGAGCACAGAACTTACGCTTGTCAGCGTCGGCAGCCCGCTCGGCCTCCTCGGCGACGAAGTCCTCGTGATGAGCTTGGAGCATATCCTGAGCGAAGGAGTCGTTCTTCTTGCGAGGGCGAGCGTTCGAAGACTCGAGCTGAGCAGACTCGTCGACGTCGCTGGCCTCGGGGACGGGCTTCTTGGAGCGAGTAGAGCGAGTGGAGGAGGCCATGGTGTCAACGGTGGTGGTAGAGGTGAGAAGCGGGTCCGCTTCGCGTCTGAGTCTTCCCGCTCACTCGGAGTTCCAGGGGTTCCCCAAGCGTCTCGAGCGACACGCGTCTGTCAGCTAATTTGTTAAGCGAGCACGGCCTTGCCTCCGTATCCTCATGAGCTGCCGCATGCAAGGACTCCTACGATACGCTCTACCTTTTGTGCACGCTCTCTTAGTTCGGCCTATCGTCTCAGTGTATGCGCTTCACTATGGTCTCTATTACACTATCCTAGAAACTCCGCTTGTTCTACATCCCATCTATACTGCACTCGCCTGGCTCCTTCTGATCATACGGTCAATTTACCTCACTTTTCGCAAAGTCTTCTCCGATCCCGTCCTTTTCGTGCTCGAAATAATATCCTGTATTCTTGCGCTTGTGGTCTTGCTCGGATTCTATGGCTATTATCGATCCCCCACTCCGAGAAGAGCTGAGAAGCGCCATCACGTCTGCAATATATTCGTCCTTGGGACTCGGGTCAAAGTCGCCGTTCTTCGTAAGTTGGGAATCGTTTTTCCCCTTAGCTGTAGTCTCATGTTCTTTCAGAGGCACCACCCACCGCAACGACGGCCTGGCTTATCACCAAACTCGAGAATCGCAAACTGATCCTTGGGTTCCGCGAGGACGCTCGCCTTACTTATGAACTTCTGTTGTATCCCGGAGATGGCTCTCGTCCGCGTCCCCTCGACTTACTCCACGATGGCACTCTCGCTGCTGCTGGAGTCGTCAACAATTGCACTTTGCAATTCCGGTATTGCTTGCCCGGCGGTGCCGGCAATGAAGAAGGTGTGTATTATTACTGGATATTATTTGTCTGAACTACTGTGGGCTTACATGTAATGCAGCTGGTCCCTCTGAACCGCCGATACAGTGTCCCGCCTGCTATCGGATATTCAAGCGCGAAGGTGGACTCGTTCAGCACCTACGCGCGAAGGGGAACCCGGATTGCAAGAAGTGGGCTGAGGAGCGGGAAGCAGAAGACATCCGGCAAGCAATGGCGGCTCCGGACGAACTCGAACGTTTACGCGAAGAGGCCCGCGCGACTCTGCAGCAGATCATCGACGACGAAGAGACGGAGGGAGACTTCGACTTGGACTTCGAGCCAATCCCTGATCCGCCTCTTGACTTGCCGCCTGAGCCGCCTCCCGGTCCCGGTCCCGCTCCAGCGACCAACCTCACTCCTCTTCCAACGCCTGCATCGACTCCTGAGCCGCCTCCTGGACCCACGCCCGTGCCAACGCCCGCATCAACTCCTGAACCGCCCGACGACCTCATCCCCGACGAGGATCTCGAACCACGACCGCTCAAGAACCTCAGAGCAGTTCGGAGCGGACGGCATGATCCGAAGGAGGAGAGCGACGAGGAAGATGATCCATTTGGTTGGGGTGATGAGGACGAGGAGGATGCGCTGAAGGAAGAGGTGGAGGATGACGAGTTTGAGGATGAGGAGGATCAGGACGATGATGAAGATGCACTGCGCGATCTCGGACTTGGCGCTATGGACGAGGGCCCTGGCAATCAAGACGACGGGCCTCTGGATCAAGTCGAACGGGAGGGAGGAGGCGAGGGAGGGGGAGAGGGGGGAGGG